TATTTGTTGTTGTTGTCTTTTATGCAGTTGCTGGCACTGCACCACTAGCCAGCTCCCGATAGGCGTCCTGCAGCGCATACTGTTGCTCAGGTGTCAAAATACTAGCGCATGCCTGGAAAACGTCTGGGTTGGATTCTACTTGCTTCACAATACCCAGCATGCGGGTACCCACATCGTTTAACGGCGCCACAACTTTTGTGACGAACGCTTGTGCTATGATTGAGACAATGCGTGGCAAATTGCTGTTGTTATTGCCAAGTATAATGGGGTGATTGGCCTGAATGAGATCACACATGTATCCGTAGATATGCGGTGCCTCATCAGCATCCTCAGTTACGGGCAGCCAAGAGAACCTGCGAAGTATATTAGCATTATATATATATATATAAATATCTGCAAACGTTTGAGAAAACTCAATGGAGAAAGTTTGATATACCAAAGGTTGATAATCTCATCGACATTTTGTATGGCGCTGCTGTTATATTTCAGGATCTTCGCAACTGCTGCTATTGCATTTTCTGTGGGATTGACGTTTTCGGGTTCGCGACTCTTTGCATCGGATATAACTTGCACTAAAAGCGGAATGATCTGAGCACATGTGACGGCAAAGTGTTCGCCCCCAAACTGGAGATTGAAAACAAAAACAAATATTCGAAAAACGGCACGAATAAATGGTTTTATAAAACATTATGGTTTTACCTGTCCCAATACCCCGCAGCCATATGCGGCTGCTTGACGTACTTCGGCTGATTTGTCGGTAACGTATTGTAGCAAAGGTGGTGTGAAAATCTGTTGGTAGGCCGCGCAGGCTGGACCACAAAACTCTGCACGATCCAGTGTTTTAATTTAAATTTTACTACAAAAAATGTGAGGCCAATTCACTTACCGATAACATCGTCAAAAGCGCAAACACCCCACTGCCTATCAGACCATGAGCGGTTGGGCTCAAGCAATTTGATAAAATGTGGTGCAATGCGATCGAAATATGGTAAAAATTGTGCCTTATTGGTGAGGAATAGCGCATGCGAAATGTCCACCACCTTTGATAGTATGTATGTGTCGGTGTCGTCCTGTTCGGCCAACTCCTCTTCGACACCATCATCGTAGTCCTCCTCGGTGCGAGCTTGCAAACGCTTGTCAGCACGTTCAAAGTGTTCGCCCATATATTTGGAAATGATGTCCAATACCTGGTTCATTGCCTCGTCATTCAAGCAATTTGGACCCAAAGTCTCAATACATTTAGCCAAAGAATTAAGTAATTCTGATTGAACATCCGCCTCCGGTTCCGTGCCGATTACCTTTAACAATTCCGGACAAATGTACAGCCACATACCCTCCAGATATTGTGGACCCTTAATTTTTGCACAATCCAACAAATATGGCAGAGATTCAGCGGCTGCCGTACGCACGCCATCGTGGAAGTAGAACTTCAACATCGGTACCATTAGACGCACGACTTCTTCGGCATAATCGGCGAAACCGTCCTTCAATTCGCGAGCGTAGCAAACTAACATCTCACAGGCAGATGCCTTCTCCTCCATGCCAGCGGTGCGGATGGCAAAGTTCTGCTGTTCACCCAAATTGATAAATGACCAATCAACGTCACCTGTAGATTAAATTAAAATATTGCTTGTTTAGTGGGAGCCTCAATGCATTATGCGGTACATTCGGTTTTTTTTTTTGCCTTGAAAATTGTATTTTCTTTGCATTTCTTTTTATAATTCATTCTATAAACTATTTAACATCAAATCTTGGCTTGGGTTGAACATAGCGCGATGCTTCCGCCTTAAAAGGAAGGAAAGGAAGGTTCATTTATACCGATTATAGCCGATTTCTTATCACATTGTCTTATATTGCTTCAAATCACATCACACCGTTGCACATCACGTCGCTTCATATCACACCGCATCATTTCGAATCACATACTTCACAAGATCAAGTCACTTCACATCACATCAACTTATAAAAATCACCTCATCCCAAACAGATGACACACACGGCATCAATTTACATTAAATCATATCACATCGCCTCAATTCATATCGCTTATAACCTCATCACATCACTTTACATTGTATTAAGACTCATTCCACTAAGACTTAACCGCGTTATTTTTTTTTTATAATCGCTTCTGCTACTAATACAATTATCAAACTTAAATCCAACAAACCTTCAATATCCTCCACTTCATCATTATCGAGTAGTGCTACCTCTGGTTTCATAGCTGCCGTATGCATTACCGGGCCCATAACCAGCGGCAAGTATTGTTCGAATTGTTTACCCAAAATCTTGCACATACGCGCCCAAGCAGTAATCAAGTAAGATGTTTGCGGATCATCATCTGGCAAATCGCCTTCGGTGTGCGTCTTCAACAACATGTCCATAACTTCGCCAGCATCAGTAATGAATTTCTCACGGCCTACAGCCAGACCAATCAAGCTGACACATTCTATAGTCTTGCCACGTAGCATCCGCAAATCCTCGGATTTGGCATTTTGAATGATGAACTTCAAGCATGGCATGAGGCGATCATAGTAGGTAACGAATTCTTTCTCGCATGTATCGGCCACTGAAGCAATGGTGGTGACGACTTGCTCCAACACCAATTTGTTACCCTTCTCTACGAGCTCTTTGAATTTCGAATTCAAAATGTTCTCAAGCTTGGACATAATGCCATTCAAATAACGGGTTAATATATGCTTGGGGCAATCTTCGGAGAAGTTAACTAAAGCAGCACCAGCATGCGCCTGCACACGTGGATTCTGTACGTCGTCGAGCAGCGATAACAACCCTGGTACGACCTTGAAATTAAACAAAGAGTTACATTTTTAATTATTATGCATTCGTAAAAAGGAAAACCACGTAGCCTTGTTTGGCACTAAACCTTCAATTCTCTGACTGTACTCACCTGTTCATGGAATTTCTTTTCAAAAGTTGGCGCAAAATCTGTAGACATTTGCCCAATGGCATTGCAAGCAGCGTAACGTACGCGTGGATGGGGATCGCGCAAGAAATTCAATACGCCAGCCATAATCTGTTCCAGCATTGCCTCCATTTGCTTGTGGCAGCCCTCACCAATGGCCGAAATAGCCATAAGCGCAGCATAGCGTTGCTTCCAATCGCTATGTCCCAACATATTCGGCAATGCGTTCATGACATGTGGCAACACTGTTTTGCCACCCAAACCACAAGCCAAGCGATCCAAAGATGATTCGGCAATAACATTATTGTCGCTGTTATCGTCATCGGTAACCACATCGGAGGTGGCCCATTCTTCATCTTCATCCAAATCGGTCATCATTTGCAATACCAATGGTATCAACGTTACTATATACTTTTCGGCGCGTTTGCGTACCATTGCTGGGGCATTCTCCGACAGCGACACCATTACTTCCAAAACCAAATGACGCCAACTATCCTCCACATCTGTAGTGGCAAACACTTTCATGCACATCTCAAAGATATTCTCCAATTGTGGGCGCAAGAACTTCGGACATGTTTCAGTCATATCGATTAGTAATTTCAATAAACTTTGATCGTCTTGCGCCTCAATACTTTCAGCGGTGATCATGATCATGCGTGGCAACAAATCCGAAAAGTGCTTGAACACGCTCGACTCTCCATCCTTATCGTGATGCAGTATGAATGCACCAATAGCACGTACAGCCTGGAATCGCACCTCCACATCAGCTGTGGGTTCCAAACTCTTGGCCAGCATTTGCTTGATCAAATCAAGATATTGGGCTTCTTGGTTACCAAAAATTGATGGAACACTGGCAAAAATACGCAATGCGGACTCTTGCAATTGTGCCGATGGTGAGTTGGCGCATTGGAAAAGAAATTGCAAGATATCGGTCCATTGATTATTGCCATCTTCGTCAGTGAGACTGCGAGCAACCTCAGCAACCAATTCACAGATTTTGCGACGCAAATTCGGAGTAACTTCCTGCTGTACGGCTAGCAAAATTTGCTGCAACAGCTGAGCTTGAGACTCTTGAGGCAGCTGTGAGAATGGGATATAAAGGAGGAAGATATGAAGAACATGTTCTGCGTTCCAATTTAAAATTTTAGTATTTAGCTACATATTATAATCAAATTTAAAAACATATGTACTTAATTTACGTTTGTTTATGTATTCAACGAAAATATACATTCATACATACATACATATATTTTGTGCATGGCTGTATTTTCGCACTGTTATATGAACCACAGTTGTATGTTAAACAAGTAACCGCCTTATCACCTATCTTTTATTATTCGAAATGCATACTTTCTAGAGATAACTAAACAAATTTAATGCCATGATGACCTTTAGACGTTCTAAATTTTAAGCTACTGTACTAATTTCGAATATTACCAAGAAAAATATAGTTATAATAAAAACACAATTTTTTTCTGGTCGTTTTAGGAAATCATTCACAATATGTACTTATTATGTCCTCTTCTTGAACCTATAATGTTCTCAACAGTTCTTTAAGTCATTTCTTTTTTTCATATTGAAAAATTATGCAGTAAAATATGAAAAACACGCTTTAAGTCAAAAATAACTGAAAATCAACAAAATTCAACACATTTTCACCAAAATTTAAAACTTTTTATTCATAATTTTTTATATAAATAGTATATATCTACATATGTAGTTGTATAGCCCATTCAATTTTTGTATAATAAAGTGCTAGTTTGAAGTGCCTCCAAAATATCCTTGATTTTTAACATAATTTTTTTGTGTGTTTTGTTGGAAAAGCTGTTGGCTATATCTAGATTTTTGTCCATAAAATCCAGCACATTTTTTATCTGTTCCGCATAGTAGAAAGCTGTTTTCACGGCAAAAAACATTCTCGGATGGTTGCCCTTGCCGTCCGAGGGCCTACTGCTAATAGAAAACACTTTTTTGATGTTTCTCGGACCAGGGATTGAACTCTGGACCTACCGAGTGGTAGTGCCGGTCTCTAACCACTCGACCTCTGAGCTTAAGCTCACTTTTTATGCATGAAGTTCAATAAAATGGTGTTTTAAATTTTAGATGTCACATTTTTTCCGTGCTCTCTACTTAGTTCACAAATTTACCAAGCTTTGTAGCAAAACATAAAATTAAGTACTTCAACGGAACGTATAAATGGAACCTTAGCTAGACACACACCACAAACATACTTTTTTGTGTTGGTTTGTGTACGAAACAATAAACAGAATTAAGAAAAAAATAAGAACCCGTGCCACTTGAGTTATTTTTCCAGCTTTTTGTTTTGTTTGTGACTTCAAAACTACACATCATCTCGCTTACATTGCAATGTATCTTTTAGTTCAATCGTAGTTGTTAATTTTTTTCTGATAGAAAAAGGTAATGCAATCCCATTTTCCCCACTGGGATTTTCCTGGTCTGTTTACAGTAGTAATGAGAAACCGTTTCGGCAGATGAAATTCTTATAAATACATATATACATACAAAAAATTGCAACTGTTAGTTAAACGCTTACTAAAATATTTACCAAACTTTTAAAAATTACCCATCTTAATAGAAGAAGAAAAAATAGCTATGATAATAATCATTCGCAATTTTCTTGGAGAATTTGTTGCTAACTGCATGTTGGCAACATGTTGCATGCTTTTTTGTCGAGGAGATGTTCTGGAATTTGACACTTATTTCACAGAGATATATGCAATTTAAATACTAAAATAATGTAATTTATTAACACTTTCCGTGCCCAGCCATTTTACGTAATGTTTCAAAACGTGTGGAAAAAAATTGTTAGATATTTACTATTTGGTTTCTTGACAATCAAATGCATTCATAAATGTATAAATGGCACTTGCGTTTTCATATAGGCCACATCATTCATATATGTATGAGATAGATATATATGTATATATCCAACTATAAGCCTAGGCTATTCAAAAATTTATAGCACTAGAACAAAATGTAAATAGAAGTTTCAGAGCACAATAGCTGTTGATTATAGGAGAATACTTAGTTTTGGCAAATATTTAAAGATATTACTGCTATCGAGGAATAAAAATAATAAATTTAAAGTTTTCTGACAAGTTTTATTTCAGTACAAAAGAACATAATAATGAAAGCTCAATTTTAATAATTATGGTGAAAATATCTTTATAGTTCAATCCTAAAAATCTATTTATTAAAAAATACCTCAGTATGGGCATCATGCGTATATGAATGGCATGGCCGATAATGTAAAAATTTATGGAAATTTCTATGCCCGGCCGCATCATACAAATATGAATGAGAACCGTTTGAACGTCTTACCGCTTCAATTTCTGCTAGAATATTACCAAAATGCATTTTAAATATTAATTTCAAGAAAGATTTTCAAATTTGTCTACAAATTTAAATAAGCATCATGTTGCCAACATGTTTTGAGCATTTCGTGAACAGAGTACAACTTAATCGTTAAAATGTTGAGGAATTTCACACATATTTCACGACAAAAAATTGTATGTACATATGAATGTATAGAGCGTCTCAGACGTGGCAATGCAATATATTTCGAAAAGGCAGTCAAATTGAGAAATTTCAAAAAGCAGTTATATGAGCAGTCACACTTTGCATGTAAAGTGTCTTTCGAAAGAGGTTTTTTATTTCCGAAAGACGAATTGCAGCACGAGCAAGTTGAAATATATTTCCGAAATCGATTTGTGCTCTCTCTATTGCAGTGACATCTTGCAACTTTTATTTCTGGAACTGATTTTTGAAATGTGACAGAAAGGTCTTTCTGGCTGGCTGTTCAAACATCGAAATAAAATTTCTCTTTCTCAATTTAACAGCGAATTGCATGGCACGTGTGACACGCTCTTACCTATATGGATTTAAGCTTTTATTGACTTTCATGACCTTATTAATTTATTTAAACTCAGTGAATTATGTATTTTCAAATAGTTATGTAGATAGTGTACTTTTTATATTTTAAAGCATTTCGATAAGTTTCGATATATGTACATATGTACATAGGTGCATACATACATACACATACATACTTTTATAAGAAAAAAAAACGTAATTGGATCCTGAAGCACTTTAATACATGGTCATAATAAAGATAAATAATTTATCTACTAAATGAAATAATTACTTTGCTCTTTTTGTTTTAATTATTTCTCTGCTGTCCATAACATATGTATATATAACGCGTACTCACCTCCTTGTAAAATTCAGTGAATTCCGATGTAAAGAGGCGACGCAAAAGTACCGCAGCCATCTGACGTGCTTCCTCGGATTGTTGGCCATTGTGTATGGTGCCCAAAAGGTGCGTCACCTTTACATCACGTGGTAAATTGTTATACGCATCCTAATGAGTAGAAGGAAAAGAATATGGATTTCACTTAGATTTTGAAGTGTAAAATAAAATATACATACAAATTATACAGGTCCCATTGCTTTTATGTACTATGCCAGTTCCAAAACGGTACATAGAGCGCAACAATGAACCAAACTAACATTCAACTACCATTCTGCTTGGTGGTGTCAAATTTAAGCACCTTGAGTACTATAAAGGCGCACTCATCGTTCTGGTTCTGAACTTAAAAGTTTTGACCTTGAGTTAACAAGCCAAAAGCGTGCAGAACTTTTCTCAGTTGCTCTCCCACATAGAGAACCACAACAATAACCACATGGAAGAAAAGTTCTAAACTGAAACGATGAATCCGCATAAATCTTAAATAAATTATCGATTTATCTTTATATTCACATTATTTCTAAATTTTTATCAAATATGGGCAAAAATCAGCTGTGGTGCAGTGGTAAAAAGTGCGCGCTTCCACTCCGCAGCACTTGGGTTCAAACCCTGGTCAAAGCGACATCGCAAAAAATATAGAAAATGGTTTTTCTTAACAGCGGTCGTCCCTCGGCAGGCAATGGCAAAGCTCCGAGTGTATTTCTGTCATGAAAAACAGCTTCTCATAAAAATACAATCGCCGTTCGGAGTCGGCGTGAAACTGTAGGTCCCTCCACTTTGTGTGACAACATCAAGGCGCACGCCACAAGTCGGAGGAGAAGCTCGGCCAAACACTAACATATGTGTAAGCGCCAATCTATTATATTATTATTATTATGGGCAAAAATAAATTGAAATAGTCAAATGACCGCAACAGCTGTTTTTGTGATTTCTGAAATTTTGTAATTTCTGGCAGTAAAAATTTCACTAACAGGAACTAGCAGCAAACACGCGTTTTTTTGCTCTCTTGTGCAAAATTTTTGGCGTAAAAAAATCGCCTAACCAGCAGAAACTAGTGATAGATAATGTTCTAGGAAGAAATAAAATTAAAATTTACGTCACGCAAATTTC